ACATACATACATACATACATACATACATACATACATACATACATACATACATACAAATACAAACGCATACAGTACAGATGCATACAGACACGCTTACACACTCGCATACACACACGCACACATATGTACCATCACTAAAACACGCACACACACAAACACACACACACACACACACACACACACACACACACACACACACACGCGCGCGCGCGCGCGCGCGCAAACCTAACGATTTATCCAACGCTTTTAGCTCAATATTTGTCCTACAGGCCTATATTATTGAAGTGGGGTAGTATTCATAACGTAAGGATGTGTGGGGTGGGGGAAGCTTTTAGAATTGACGATTTTGGGTCACATTATGGTAGTATCTGGTCTTTTTAAGTATTCTGAAACTTCAGTCACTTATGAGCTGATTTTTTTTATAAGGTACACGAGAATTTTGAGATGGCCTATTTTTTAAACTAAAACTGTCAAAATGATTTAAATTTTTTTTTTTTTTGTATTCAGCAATTGAAGGCATTTTGAGCAGCACCATACAGATAGGCACATGGTCTTGGAGTAGCAGTCAAAGGACTCATGCGTTGTTTGCCGCACCTGATGCTATCGATAATTGAGTCTTGACAAGATCAGGAATTTCACCAAGACAGATAAATAAAACGCAGACCTGTTTCCTTTGTCACATATTAATTTTGCGTGGAAGTTATGTTGGCTAAGTTACACAATGAAAGAAATAGGGTCAACGGGGCAGTTAAATAACCTTATCGTCTGTCAAAATAATTTTTAAAAAGAAATACTGAAAGTTTCAAAGAGATCTTCGCACTAGAAGTATTCTAAAAATGTGAAGAATACAACCCCGTGGGTACAAAATGACCCCAGGGCGTACGGCCGGATAGGCTGTTAAACAAATACTGTGACCTCTGACCTTACCCTTCTCTCTTCCATTCGTCCCTCCCCCAGATCTACTGAACGACAGAAGCCAAGGCAAAAAGACGGCCCAGGAGCTACAGGAAATCGGTTCCATTCTCCACCACATCCTCTCCTCCACGGAAGGTTCGAACCCGGCCCCTGAACCTTCCTTCAAGCACCCCTCTAGGACACGACTCTCGTTAACCCCCTCAGACAGACGGACAACCCTGGAGGAAATGAGAGACTTTCTTTTAGATAGACAGACGGAGAAAAAGTCTATGAGAAAGTCAGGAGGAGGAGGAGGATCAGGAGGAGGGGGAGGACACTCCTCTCCTCTCGACGCCAAAAAAGACGAGGATGACTCGCTCCCTCTTGTGACGTCGAAGAGGGGAAGAGAAGGGATGTATGGGGCCATGCCTCCCATGATAGAGTTATGCAGAATGATGGGGCTACAGCGCTGCCACTGACCAGGTCACTCGTAGCAAAGACATTACTTCTGACAAACTGTGCATTTCTGGGACATCTATGACGTTATGTAATAAAATATTATTACATATAAATAATGATGCGTTGTTTTCGACTCCATTAATTGTTACTTTATTGTCTTCAGTTTCATTATTTTGACGAGCGCCTGATTTCACCACAATGCCTCCCATATACTATTTCTTATTTCTTTTTTAGAATCC